AAATAATTGAAAACTTTAAAAATACACCCGGCGGAAAACCACTGCTTGGGGACTCTGTCGTGATTGCTAAAAGCCTGCCTGAAAAGGTGGGTCTTCAGCTGTCGGGCGGAAGGAGAGCAGGGAGGGGACCAGCCGATTCTCCCGAGGGAAAGAATCGTCACAACCCGGGAGCTGCCACTGAGAAGGCTCCGTCTCGTGTCCCCACCAAACATTCTCGGTATGGCCATGGGGCCAGAGAGAAGGGCCTCCGCTGAACATCTTAAGGACCGTGGTGGGGAGACCCTGTTCTTCAGATAGCCTTGAGTGTGATCGGTCTCAGATTTTTGAGAGGAGAGAGAACGGGAGGAGGGGAGAACGCAGCCCATCGTGTTCCATCCCTGCTACTCATAAACAAAAACATCTCTGTTGTCGTTTTGTGATTTATAAGGCTGAGCATTAAAAGGCATTTTATTAAAATAAAGGATGGTTGTAGTCCCTCGTGTATCATCCATGTGGTCAGTGGTGATATATCATTGTGGTTAGCCTTGTTTTCTGTCCAGTTTGCCTTGAGAGTTCATTGAACTATTGACTGTTCTTGCTATTTTGAATGACAGCCGTCATTTCTCCAAAAATGTGTTTCAATCCTACATGTGGATGCCACATATGTTTATGCTGAAACCTTCAGCTCAGGAAGGATGGTGGGATATGAGTGTCCACCCGAGACAGCTGCTCTAGGGCTGGTCTTGACTGTACACCCTGGTACCCTTTCTGGGCTACTGTCCTATCATTCGTTCCGGCTAAGAGTAAACCCATTGACTCAACTGCTGGATGGGAAGTCGTACTTATGTAAATCCTATTGAGGCAGTAGATCTACTCCCACTGCGACCAGCAGAAGCCCTGTGACTCTTCGTTTTTTTTCACATGAGGTGAGAATGGATGGATGGACGGACGGACGGACGGATTTTCTGTGGACTTTTTCGGTGGCTGCTCCCACGTTGTGGAATGGCCAAGAAAACAGTGTTTTGAGGCCGTGCCTCCTCTGGCAGGCGCCCCTCAGAGGCGGCACACAGAGGAGGCGGGGCAGGAAAGTGGTTTGTGTCCATCTCTACTCCAAATAATTGAAAACTTTAAAAACACACCCGGCAGAAAACCACTGTTTGGGGATTGCTAAAAGCCTGCCTGAAA